GCTTATATGCAACTGGTCATCGTCCAAGTTAGATATTAATATTAATAGAGGCAGTGGAATTCATACTTCTCAGTGCAATTATTTCAGACCATCTGTAGACTCAAAGATAACACTGCATCATTTGCACTAATTTCAAACATCTGCAAGGTTAACCTGACAACCATGGGGGCTAAAACCTTACTGTGACATTTCCTGGAAATACCCAGAGTTGTGAGGCATTTTGCTACCACCTGTCCCTGCCACGGGTCAGCTCCCTACTCCACCGGCCACTGGCAATATGAGCACTCCCTTCTAGGCCTTGCTCTCTCTCTACAGGTTAGTGATTAGTGTGCGCCTATCCTCAAGCCCTCCAAGCGTCTCCCTGGAGTGTTCAGTCCCTGGTCCACTGGACACTTGCAGTGTTCACAGATTTGCTGCTTCCAAAAAAGTACACCCCATCTTACCAGTTCTGCCTCAGATCACTGCTCCGCTTAACACACAGCACTTAGATTTGTTTTTTAGTGAAATCAAGTATAAGTTTATTAATAAAGCATAGAGATTCAAGTAATAGCAAGTAGAAGCATTGGAAACAGTTACATATAAAACAAAGTCACAGCATGCATTCTAGACCTAGACTTACTTAACAAGATACTCTCCTGTCTTGCAGAATATTGCTCTCCCCAAATCTTTGCAACATTTCACAGCCAGATTAGTTGTGACCCTCCTTTCATGAGACAGACAAGCTGTCAGCTTGTCTCCTAGGTGAAGGATCGATCCTGTTCATTTCCTTGTACCCAGATATAGACCCTAATAATGCTTTGTCAATTTCCTCTCCTATAGATTTCACAATCTCCTCTCTTGCCAATACGCAAATAGGCCTATATTGTGATGCATACAATACACAGAAATGACCAGACAAGGAGATAGGTTAATTAATAAATATATGGAAAAATACCTATCTCATAGAACTGGAAGGGACCTTGAAAGGTCATTGAGTCCAATCCCCTGCCTTCACTAGCAGGACCAAGTACTGTCCCTGACAGTTTTTTAGTAGTTGTTTTTTGCCCCCGATCCCTAAATGGCTCCCTCAAGGATTGAGCTCACAACCCTGGGTTTAGCAGGCCAATGCTCAAACCACTGAGCTAACCCTCCCCCACTGCTGCCTCCTGAATGAAAGGACATTTCTGAGGTATGTGACCTGCCTTAATGCCAAGATCCTAAGAACATAGATTTTAATATCGATACATACACCTTAAATATTATCTGTCCATACATTTCACAATGATTATGTCAACCAGTGGGCTATTGGCTCTCAGTGGAGACTGCACATGCCACTCTTTGGTGAACAATTATGCACATATCTGACCCATAGATCCCTGTAAACCCATGTGCACCCCCTGTGGCACCAATAAGTACCTGGATCACACTTTTTCCTTTTCCTTTTTTCTTTTAAACGAAAGCTTGAGATGCTGGAGATCTGAGTTGCAAATACACATACTTCAGATGCTGAAGAGTCAGGCCACATGAAATACATCAACAGTGGCACATCCAGCACACAGGCCAAATTCCTGAAACCTCTTATCTAGAAGATCTAAGCAGGTCATTTTTATTTCTCTCCTGTATTCAAAAGATTCATTTAGTGAACCTCTGCCTCCCAAAAATTTCCCTGCTAACTCCAGAAACTAATATGCAAAAGGAAAAAAAATTGGACATATAGTTTTTTAGTTGCAAACTTTATTACATATTATGAGGCAATGTCCAGTGGATAGATCAAAATGTCACAGACTATGCACTTTAGTTTCCCCATTTGCAAAATAGCTCCCTACCTCACAGAGCTGTTGTGATGCTTAATTAATTAACGCTTGGAAAACATTTTAAGGCTGTGTGATGAAATGCGCTAGAGAAACTGAAAGTATTATTTTAGAACATATACTTCTTACCTTTCAGCACCAAATGCAGACTCTGTGTCAATGTATATGACAGCCCCATCTAGTCCTCCCATGCTGATAGGCAGAGTAGCCAGTACACTCATCATAAGACAAAACTGAGTTTTGCCACAACCCGATGGGCCAGTTACCTAAAAAGAAAAGTATTCATATAAACTAGGGGTATTACACTCATTGGGAGAAAGGGCCTAATTCCATTTTGAATTATGGTCCATGGGCCAGAATAAGCAGTTAGGACTCCATGCACCCCTCTTCAATTTACAACACAGTTCCCACTGATATTCATGAGGTGTTTGCACAAAGATTAGGTATGGTCTTTACGTGGTAACTAAATTTGTCAGTTTTCATTTGTTCATTGTCGTCATATTCAGTATCACTCGGTAAGAAAATACACTAAGCTTTCGGACCAGTGGTATTCCTGCCTTTTGTTTCACTTCCTTCCCATCTTCCTTTTTCTATTTCTCTCCCTCTGCTGTGTCACTGAGAGTCTCTTATGTTCTTCCCTCTGCATTGCCTTCCCTGCAGCAACTCCCAGTTCTCTCCTCAATGGGCTTCATTCCTATCCCCTTTTCAGCTGTTAAAATAATCAGCAACAAAATAATTACTGCTGTTACTGAAGTGCCATAACTGAGCTTTAGAACTGACATTCCAGTGAGATTATAAAGGGAGTCAAGGTGTACACAACCAGAGTCACTGTTTCAGATAGACCTCACTACATCAGTTACACTCAGGTCACATTTGGAAGCCACCACATATGTACATCAAGCAGCCTGTATCTGGTCAAAGGGCTACATGTTTGACACTCCTGGTCAGGGCCGGCTCTGGCTTTTTTGCCGCCCCAAGCAAAAAAAAAAAAAAAAAAAAAAAAAAAAAAAA